TATTATTTTTTGCTCTTATTTGTATATGTTATGCCAACGTACAGCCAAGCCCTATAGTCGTGAAATGAACAAGATTCTCCAACAAGATCTGTGCCTCTTTCAGATCTCCAGTTGTGTCCTGCTGGCCGGGCGCCACTGAAGGGCAGCGATGGAACAGACCTCTATTGTGGACTCGGTTCCTCGGGGAACTGCCCTGTACACAGCATCTGTAATGTCGACCCTGTTGACAGATTTGCTGTTTGTTGCCCGAACAAGTAAAATAAACTGATATATTATTATCGATATCATCAAAGTCTTTGTTATCAATTCTTAACAGTTGGCTTTCATTATTATTATTATTGATGAGTATATTTATCTGTTATTCAAGGTACATACTGTTCTGGTTTCAAAAACGTTTGTACTCTTTGTACTTTTGTAATATCTTGAACTATTGTGTGAGGTACATTGGCAGGACTGAAAGAACATGTTAATTGCAACTGACGAAAATGAATTAATAGATTAATGCTTATTTCCAATAGCTTGAAAATCCATGTATTGCCAAAACTATTTTCAAAAGGGTTCACTACGAATACTCGTAAAGTATGTTTTAAGTCACATTTAATGTACATTTGCATTTTATAATTATAGACTGCTTTCTCCATAAACAATATCATAAAGGCAAGGAAAGAGGCTGACCATTATTTATGTCGTTATCATATGGTCCACGATTTCACCTACATGGTACCCCCGGTGGATTTACGCCATCCCTTCGGCAAACGTTGATTGCCGTATAGCTTATTTCAAACGTTGATTGCCGTATAGCTTACTTCAAACGTTGATTGCCGTATAGCTTATTCAAACGTTGATTGCCGTACAGTTTATTCTTAAAACGTTGATTGCCGTATAGCTTATTCAAACGTTGATTGCCGTATAATTTATCCAAACGTTGATTGCCGTATAGCTTATCCAAACGTTGATTGCCGTACAGCTTATCCAAACGTTGATTGCCGTTTATCCAAACGTTGATTGCCGTATAGCTTATTCAAACCTTGATTGCCATATAGCTTATCCAAACGTTGATTGCCATATAGCTTATCCAAACGTTGATTGCCGTACAGTTTATCCAAACGTTGATTGCCGTACAGCTTATCCAAACGTTGATTGCCGTATAGCTTATCCAAACGTTGATGGCCGTATAGCTTATCCAAACGTTGATTGCCGTATAGCTTATTCAAACGTTGATTGCCGTACAGCTTATCCAAACGTTGATTGCCATACAGTTTATCCAAACGGTGATTGCTGTACAGCTTATCCAAACGTTAATGGCCCTATAGCTTATCCAAACGTTGATGGCCCTATAGCTTATCCAAACAATTAAAATTACCACATATACTACGTTTACAACCACCTAAAAATAAGAAATACTTTCCTTCCTTCCTTTCTTTTCACACACACACGCACACACGCACACGCACACGCACACACACACGCACACATGGAGACACACTCGCGCACACACATGCACATTTAGTTTTACAATCTGAAAATGTAAAGACAGAAAAATGGTCCATGATGGTTGCGCCAAATTATCCAGTGAGGAGCCTATGAAATTCACACCAATTAACTCGGGTTTAAGGAAGTCGTGAATAGGTCAGAGATGACAAGATTACAAGTCTTAATAAAACAGGGCAGGGGTTGAGCTTTCCAAAGTGACAGTATTGTGTGACATTCATTTGCTCTGTTTCTCATTCCCGGAATGCACGTGCAACAACGTATTGCACGTCTCAAGGACGAACCCACTGACGTCACGGAACGTGGCACGTGCATGCATGTTGGATACATGTCACTAATCTCTGAGTTTAAACCCATATGTGTATACACAGGTTTGATTAATTTAGATTTTAAATTTTTGTATGCACAGTTTCTTTATGTGCCTAGTATATATTCAATCACTTATCATTTTGCATATAACGCTCCAAGTCAACAGGAAGCATTCGTTATCAGTCTTTCCTGGGGAGGAAGTGGAGACGGATGAGTCACCACTATCACAAAGACTCAGGCTATGTCAAATGTTCACTGCAACAAGGCAGGAAGCACCTCCTAAGGCTGCGGTAAACTTCAAAGTATGACATAAATAAAACTGAACTAATATCAGAATTATTATCGTGAAGGTTATGATACAGTGGACTAGATACCACATACAATTGTTTGTAAAATAACAGAAATACATGTGTTTAGCATTCTGTTATTTGTAGAAACCTTAGGCCTTTCACAACACCATACAAATAGACTAGAGAATAAAATCGTTCATTCGTCTATATATCTGGAAACATTGCAATGACAAAATATTTTTTTCAGAATGTTATACCTACACAGACACATTCAGAACAAAATGATTTGCTGGCAGAGGTCATCTGTCGTAGGGAGGCGCAGACGAGACCGCATCTTGTATGTGCAAATTCATTAATGTGAAAAATTTTCTGAAACGTTTCGTGATCTTAAGGGTTTTGCTAGCACTAACACTCGACTACTAACGACTTCATATATCCAAAAAAAAAAGAAAAAAAGAAAGAGTCACAGATGACTGCGACGAAAATTTGGAATGCACTAATTTTCCATACAGTTAGTAAAACATTTTTGTGTCCTCAGTGTTACTGAATAAACACACTGAGGAGGAAACAAAATTCTCACTCGAATGCAATATCCGGGGTTTTCGTCCACCCTTACCTGTTTCAGTATCGTTTATGCCTTACATGCGGTTACCTCCCCTGATGAGATCACTGACACCGTTGGAGACCGAGAGACTAAGCGCATAAACTATTGTGGGTATCCTTTTTATTATTGTGAAAACATACACAACACATACTATGGATTCAGGTGCGTGAGTTATGAGTTATAGTCACATCGACAATATTTCAGCCATATCGTGACTAGAATAGGCCATATGTTAATAATACACACTTTTTTTTGTGGGGTGTTCATTTTAACATTGAAGCTAAATCGTCAAGCACTTAGCCTCTGTTGGATTATCAAGAAAGGGTTTTGGGTGCGTTCTCTCAGCGAAACACTTGTCTTATCCTAATCCTTGCTTAAAACCATACAGTTAAGTAGGACATTCTTGGCCGTGATTCTTTCGTCACAATGAATACACAATGGCTGATGTTCCCCCTGCACACGTCCACTGCGAGCAGCAGAAATGAACGGTTTAATTTGAACTCCAAGAGGAACGGTTTCTCTCACAAATTATAGGAATTAAGTCCTCGGTCAAAAAGTCCTTGGTTAAAAAGTACAGGTAAACAGTTCTCGGAAGAATGAAAAATTGCTGTTCAACATTAAATACCGTGAAATTTGACGCCGTGATTGTATTACGAGGTGAGGTGGGGTCCGTCAAAACCCATAGCTACTCGTATTAATTTCATAACGCCTTTATGCTCCTATTCTCATTCCTATAGCTTCCACGTAGCCTCTGTCCTGTCACTGTCGACGGTAACACCACTTTCACTTCATCACTGAATACAACCTTTATTGATACAAGAATACAATAATACAACCTTTATTGATACAATAATACAAACAATTACAATGCAGCTTGAGCTCTTTTATGATTTTAAATATATGCATTGAGTGATATAAGGTATCAATGTTAGCTACTGACATCACGGTGAAATCAGTGTATGGGTTTCTGATAATTGACACTTTTATTCTTGAACACAGAAGTGACAAAACCCTTTCCACATTCATAAGAAATCTCTGCCAAAAGCACAGTGGATTGTACAATTGTGACTATCTCATGAGCAGATATTTGTTTCAACAGTATTACAGCTGTATGATGTTTTGTAAACAAATCAAGTCTGAACCAGACAATCCAGTGACTGTCACCATGTGATACGATAACAGAGCATTTGTTCATGAATTACAATGAAAGGTAATGATACCAGGTGTTCGCGAAAAGGTGAGCGTATCCTGCCCCACCGGTGACACCCGTCATTAGCATAAATTTAGTTATTTGTTCGCCTGAAATAATTCGGGAACGTATGGTATAAGTCAAAATAGTGAATTGCATCGGACATCATTTTTGTCACTGATGCAACAAATATGGAAGTTTCCTTCACATGTCTACCGTAAAACTTCTTGAAACTTCTTGAAATGTAGTAATGTGTCATGTTTGTTCCCAACGTGTCAAATCTCAGCATTAAATCACGTGAAATCCTACCCGAGGTATTATTTTGTAATAATTGTCAGGACAGTGCATCCAAGACGTCAGTATATAACAATTGTCACCAGCACACCGTATGTGGAACCAGTGTACAAAAATGATCACATGCTATTTCAGAGTTGTCATCGGGTAAACATCGCCACTATAGTGTACCCAAGGATCCATTGAGAAATAATCCACAGCACAGAGCATTCAAGGCATCAGTGTATAATAGTAGTCCCAACCACATGGTTTGTGGAAGGAGAGTGCAAACATGGTCACACCTTTGTTTCCAGAGTTATCATTGGGTAAAAGACTCCACTATGGTTTATACAATCATTGAGTAATATTTGTCAGGGGAGTGCATCCATGGTACCAGTATGTAATAACCAGCAGCATAGTTTGGCACCACTGTGGAGTAAGCCTCCGTACTAATGAATGGGTCATGTTTGCTCAAGGCGGTTTTGATGTGACAGGCGACAGAGGCAGAAACAATAAGTCACTCAATACTCATTGAGAACATGTCTTTGAATTACTGAGTGAATCAGTTCTGAACAATATTCCAGTTAGTAAACAGACTGCACACGTTGAATCAATACTGACTACTGTCTGATACACTACATGCATGATAGCCCTTCGACACTTTGTACAAAGTTTGCAAAAACACCATTGGGGCAGAAGATGTAAGCTCTTTTTCAGTATCTGTCTTTCTATTTCAGGACGAGCCTATACATGACATTGTCATCTACAATGTTATATACACAGCACTGGTCTTCCAAATTTTAAAAAGTCCTCAACCCATTTCTGAACTTGAGATTCACTACAATCACCTTGCAGAGCTAGTACTTTTAGCTAGATCTTTGAACAGGTTCGCAATCTCTATATTACCAGTCTCTTTCGCAAAGTCAAGACCTAGCTTTCCCTCTTTGTCTTTTATCATTGAAACGTCAGATTTCTTTAAAATCTGTTTCACAGCTCTATGTTGTTCACTTTGAGCCGCGTAATGAAGAGCCGTCCTTCCCTCTTTGTCTTGAGCAGATGGATCAGCACCTAAGCGTAAGAGTGTCTCTACATTATCAGTACACCAGCCTTCAGGCGCAAGTGCTGCACAATGAAGTGGCATCCTGCCTTGCCCATCTAGTTTATTAAGATTGGCGCCTCTCTGTAACAACAGCTTAACACTGTCTGAACATCCTTTTTCTGCTGCATAGTGGAGAGTTGTCTTCCCGCAATAACTCAGTAAATTCACATCAGAGCCGTGGTCAAGGAGAAGTTTAGCAACAACACAGTCTATTTGTGTCACTGCATACTGGAGAGGTGACATTCCTTGTTCATCTTGGGCACATTGATCAGCTCCTTGATTCAGGAGTAATGATACGGTTTTCACGTTTCCATGTTCTGCTGCTTCATGAAGAGCTGTTTTGCCATGTTCGTCCCTTATTGATACATCAGCACCTGTTTCCAATAGCAGCTGCACAGACTCACTATTGGGTAGTTGTGAGGCATAATGCAGAGCTGTTTTGCCTTGTTTGTCTTGCTTGCATGGGTCAGCACCTTTGGCCAATGCTAGAGTTATACATTTACAGCTTTGCTTCTCTGCTAAATAGTGAAGAGCAGTCTTTCCATCTTGATCTCGTATGCCAGGGTTACTTCCTTTCTCCAAGAGAAGTTGAACACTTTCCCTTCTTGTCTCATGTTCATAATTAAGGTGGTCACTACAAAATGTTTCATCTCCATGAGAGGCATAGTGAAGAGCTGTTTTGCCAAATTTGTCCTTGGCGCATGGATCAGCCCCATTAAGCAGCATGAGCTTCAAATGTTCAGCGTAGCTGTTCTCTGCTGCATAGTGAAGAGCAGTCCTACCAAGTCCATCTGTCACACCTGGTTTCGCTTCATTCTCCAAAAGTACCGCAGTACTGTCACTGAACCCAGCGGCATAATGAAGGGGTGTTTTTCCAAGATGGTCTTGTTGATTTGGGTCGCAGCCTGCCTTTAAGAGAAGAGTGGTAGTTGCACTGCTGAAAAGATTGTCTGCAGCAAAATGTAGTGGAGTCTTGCACTCGTGATCTGTTACATTTGGATCTTCCAATTCCTTTAAAAGAAGTTGAACACCTTTATAGCAATTCATTTCTGATGCATAATGCAGCGCTGTCTTTCCGTCACAATCTTGCCCAGAGATGTCAGCATCTGCCTCAGCTAAAACTTTTATACTATCAACGTCATTACATTTGGCAGCACAGTGCAGAGGTGTTTGGCCAAATCTGTCTCTTGAGAATGCAGTGAGACCTTTCTGTAGGAGAAGCCTTATGTTATCACCGTTTGAACTTTCAGCAGCATAATGATGTAATGTCCTGTCATTCTCATCCTGCACATGCAGATCGACATTGTGTGCCAAAAGAAGTTTGAGACATTCCCCGTCGTTGTGCCATGATGCACGATGAAGTGGAGTTACGCCACCTTGGTCGCTTAAACAAGGATCAGCTCCTCTCTCCAGAAGTAACTTAACACCAGCATGATTGTTAATCACAACTGCATTTAACAATGCACTTTTTCTAAGCCCATCTTGAATACAAGGATCAGCTCCCGCATCTAACAGTAGTTTCAGAATATCAGTTGTGATTTCAGATGCATAGTGAAGGGCCGTTTTGCCGCTTACATCTTGAACATGCAGATCAATGGGTGTGTCCAGCAATAGCTTGTGTCTTTCAGCAATGGTTTTGCTTACATCTTGAACATGCAGATCAATGGGTGTGTCCAGCAATACCTTCACAATGTCAGTCCTTCCTCTTTCAGTTGCACAGTGTAGAGCTGTTTTACCCATAGCATCCTGAAGACATGGACCACTTCCTGCATTTAGTAGCAATTTAACATTGTCACTACATCGTCCTTCAACAATATAGTGTAAAGCAGTCGTCCCGTCCCTGTCTTTAATATTTGGATCGGCACCTGCTTGCAATAGAGTGTTCAATAGCTCAGGGTGTTTCTCCGCTGCATAGTGCAAAACCGTTTTGCCTTTTGCTTCTTGAACATTCGGGTCGACACCTTTGTCCAATAGCATTTTCGTAATGTTTTCTAAATTGAGTGCTTGAGGGAAAAACAAGTCTGCATTATGAAATACGGAAAGCAACAGGTTATATCCAAGTCTGTCTGCTTGATTCACAGCCAGTCCTCGTTCAAGCAAAAAAGACAGAGGCTCACCGTCTCCAGTCTCCATAGAAGACAGTACTGCTGCAAATGCAGCTGTTCCTCCCTCATGGTCTACTATGTGTAAAAGGTCCTTTCTGATATCCAGAAGATATCTGAGTTTGTCAATAGTGTCAGTCGGCGATCTTGCTGCCTTGTGAAGCACTGTCTCACCGGTGACATCTGTCATGTCAAGGGAAGCACCCGACTCGTGCAGACATTTCACCACGTCAATATCGGCATTCCTACATGCTGCAAGAATGGCACGTTTGCAGACTTGATGTGCATCATTATTTGCAGGAAAATGTGATACAATGTCATCAACATCAACATTGACATCAGCGCCATTCTTTAGCAGAAACTTAACCATTGCTAGGTCACCACATTCAGCTGCCTTGTAAAGGATGGTCTTGTTGTCCTTATCTACACCTTCGATGTCACTACCTGCCTGTACTAACGCTCGCACTATGTGTATGTGTGGACGACACAGATCATCCACCCATAGCATTGGAATGCATCCCCAGGAGTTTGAAATAAGTACAGGTGCATGCTTTTCAATCAGCAACTTCACACACTCTAACTGATTATAGCACACAGCCAGATGTAGTGGTGTGTTGCCATCTCCATCTTGGACATCTACTGGAACTCCTCTGTCCAGAAGCAGATTGGCACATCCAGTATTACCATGCTTAATGGCAATGAAAAGTAGGGATGTACTAATGTTAAGTATCTCTTGGTGACTGTCTTCCACCAGCTCCAACAACTCAAGCAGGCATGCGCCTACACCATAAGCAGCTGCTTGCTGTAGAGCAGTGGGATAGTACTCCTCACGACTATATGGGTCAAACATTTCGGCACTTATGTTGATCACGTTCACCCCACGAACCGTAAGGATTTTAAGAGCTGCAGTGGATAAATGAGTCGCTGCTAACAATGTCATGAGCCTTACATCAACATTGCACCCAGTATTCAGGAGTGTGGTGATTATGTCGCTTATGTGCTCCATGTTGTATGGCTGATATACAGATGATCTATAACCAACACTCAGTTCTTTGAATAATTGGGCTAAACAGTCTTTGAACTCTGTCTGGCGTCTCTTCTGGTCTTTCGAATGTTCAACAACGAACTCCACAATAAAGGCATTTCCATATAGAACAGCCACTTTAAAAAAATTGTCTACATTGGATATTGAGTCCCATGTGAACTTGTCCTCAAACTGCGATTTGTCTTTTCTTGGCATCAGGACAAAGCTACACACTGTATAAGAAATGTCTTTGTCAATGCCCCTTGACATGCAGAGAGCTCTGAAACAAGCTGCATTTGGCCTCAGGCCAAAATCAAAGAGAGACCTGACGAGGACACTGTTGCCCACAACGATTGCACAAGGTAAACACTCCTGTAAAATGTCTCTTTCAAAATGGTCAAGCCCCAATGCAAATATATTTTCTGTCAGAACTTTCAACTGTTTCTGTACAACATAAGAAAGAAGATATTCCAATGTGAATATTTCATTTTGTTCGATTCCATGTTTAAAGGCATCACAACAAATCTGTACCTTATTGTTTAATTTCTGTTTGAAAATGCTGATAATGTTGTTCTCATTTATCCACTTATGGATCAAATGCTGAATGAATACTTCATCTTTAAGAGAAGGGTGGTCGACGATCTGTCTTGATACTCCAGGTGTTAGTAGTATATCTGTAATTCGATCAGCTAGCATTCCATAGTTTTCTTCCTTTAGATGTATCGCCAAATCATTGTCGCCTTCATTTTGTTTTGTTTTGACAAGTTCGACAAGCACTGACACAGAGCACGCTCTGATACAAATGTCTGGATACTTCTTAGACAGACTGATGAAGACAGAATCAAAGATGGATTGATGTTGAAACACAAATCCGTTTTCACTGTGTTCCAAATATATACCACAGAAGGATTCAGCTTTGTGTCTGATGTTGGCCAAACTGTGATAAGAAGGTAAACCGGAACAGATCTCCTTCACAATCTGCAGGGATTCTTGGAATTCCTCTGTACCATGCCGTGTGAGGAGATCATGTGTTTGTAGACATCCTCCTCTTAGCAGCACCAGCAACAGAACACAGTAACCAAGCCCATCACTCTCCTGTAACCTGTCTACCTCCTCCAAGATGTAATCATGTGGCTTCAGGAAGAACTGAACTCCTTTACTCTGTGCCTGCTTGCTCCCAGCAAAATATTTACAACACTGAGGAAAGCCAATACTTGACCCTGAACGAGCCACCAGTTCCATTTTTTTCTTCGTGAACTTGGTTTTGATTTGACACATGATCTTCAACATCCTCATTTTTTCATTTGGTCGAAGAGAATACTGTCCGTCATCAATTGTCACATTGGTGATATTCTTCATTAAGCGATTACTCTGCAGTTGTCTCTCACACTGAGCACTGATTTCTGGTCTCGATGTTATGATCAGGTAAACACGACCAGCTTCTACAGAGGGCCATATTACATTGAATAATCTTGACCATTCGTCTGCAGTCGATTCAACAAAGTTGCTCGAACCAAAAATGTTGTCGACCATTATAATATATTTGCATTTAAGTTGTCCCCTTCTTTGTGGTATTAGCTTCCATTCTTGGGCTGATGTTATTATCAGTGGAGTTCGTCCTTCGTCCTTGGCTACCACTGACAGGAGTCTCAGTCCCAGTCTCGACTTACCAGAACCAGATCTCCCTTTGATGAAGATGATGCCATGTTGTTTTAACAGTCTCAGTGATGACCTCTCAAAGTACGTGGAGATATATTCTGTATGGTCATGATCTATTAACGCTTTGGTCGATTCTGCAATATAACAGAGACGACGTTACATTCAGAAACAATAAATCGTATTACCAGATAGGATATCTGTTTTCATAAGTCATGTATTCAGGGATGGAGACCCTCTGAGCAACATTATTTTCCCTTCTACCTACCCCTCCATAATACTAAATATCTAAGTAAAGCAAGTTTTGATTTCCCGAGGTTCTAAATTGCCAATGTCATTGGGGCTCCTTTTAACTTTAAATGGGCTTATTTGTTTTTATCAAAAATGTGTAGATTCATAGACTGAGCGTTAGCCCAAGGTTTTATATGCTAGCAACATATGACATGTCAGTTTTGTCAAGGTATTGGCGGACTGTCGCATTAACTTTGATTACTGTATTACATCTTTAGCGACAAATGATACCTTAGCTACAGTGAACTTTTATATATGTATGCATTATTTGATGAAAATATCTTTAGTCTTTCTGCGGAAGATAAGTTGTCACTTCATGCAATCGTTTGATGTCTTTACGTATATATGTGAGGCAATCAACACAAGTCACGATATCTCCGGCGCACATGCACTCCAAAGCACTTGGTAAAATTAATGTTTTGCCTCACCACAAATGTTGACAAAGCGTCTGTCTGAAAAAAAGAAAACATGTTAATATTTTCCTGGTACCCCGGTGGAGACTAAACGTCCTCCATGAGAATGAGAAAATCACCCCATGACAACGACAATCGTTGCTCACTTTATAAACCATCTCTGCATTTATGCTGTACTACGCCCATGTGACTAAAACATATTTAAGAGTTAAATGTTTGCCGTTTTTGACATTCCCAAATGCTATGCTGTTGACAGTTTCATGTCAGTGAACTTAAATTCATTATTTCCATGCCAAACCATAGCTGAAATGTGATTAATCATGTAATAAAGACACGTTGCTGCCCTTTGACGAGCCAGGATATGGTGATCTATAGCCGAATCAAAGGTTTGATAATAACATGATTATTCATAGTCAGTTCCATATCTAGGACAGCCAATGTCGCACTCAGGTATACCTTGTACTGTCCTCTTCACGAACCGAAACACTTGACATATCTCACATCCTATCCTTAAGTTTACTGATATTCTTCCATCGAAATTCACCTGATCAACGAATCGATTTAATATAATTAGGGCTAAAACTGAATGTTATCAGTTTTCCAAATTCAGAAATAGATAACACGTTAGAGATAAACTATATGAACTTGAAGTATAACACTCTCTCACCAGCACAACCGTGCACGGCCATTGTCAACCCTCCTTGCTTCTCTTGAACCGTAGAATTGTACTCTCAGCTGTCAACGAAAACTATACTGTATCAATTAACGTCAACAGTTGAATAGTTGAGTATTCACCTATATGTGACGGTACAGGGAATACAACCATGTACTACTTTTCATGAATAGATTTAAGTTCATGCTTGGTTTAAGTACCAAGCAGACTTTAGGGTGTATAAGGTGTGCTGGTTTGCTGTGTGAAATAGTTAATGCTTGGTTTAAGTACCAACAGACTTTAGGGTGTATAAGGTGTCCTAGTTTGCTGTGTGAAATAGTTCATGCTTGGTTTAAGTACCCAGCAGATTTTAGGGTGTATAAAGTGCTAGTTGCTGTAAATAGTTCATGGTTGCTAGTTGCTGTGTGAAATAGTTCATGCTTGGTTTCAGTACCAAGCAGACTTTAGGGTGTATAAGGTGTGCTAGTTGCTGTGTGAAATAGTTAATGCTTGGTTTAAGTACCAACAGACTTTAGGGTGTATAAGGTGTCCTAGTTTGCTGTGTGAAATAGTTCATGCTTGGTTTAAGTACCCAGCAGATTTTAGGGTGTATAAGGTGTGCTAGTTGCTGTGTGAAATAGTTCATGCTTGGTTTAAGTCCCAAGCAGACTTTAGGGTATATAAGGTGTGCTAGTTGCTGTGTGAAATAGTTCATGCTTGGTTTAAGTACCAAGCAAACTTTAGGGTGTATAAGGTGTGCTAGTTGCTGTGTGAAATAGTTCATGCTTCTTTCTTGCAAGCTTCCAACCAGGACCCAGTATGCAGGTGTTGCTATAAAATGGTGGATGCCTAAAATGTTTCAATCCTTGCTTGAAGATGTTAATAAATACTGAAAATGTATAAAATTACCAAAGCAACATGGCACTATAAAGAAGTAATTTAATGTCTGAAAGCGCCTGTGTCAGGCTATTTGGTGAAATAAGAATATTCAATTCATTGCTTAAAAACTATTACACAACGGTCGGTTCTTCTCAACAGATTTGCCTGTTTTCATTGTTTTCACTCTGATTACCTCCCCACTCTCACTCCAAGACTCTGCTTGAAGTTTATGAAACGAATACAACAACAGTGTGTTTGAAAAGTATGTCCCTCATACTGACGCGCGAAAGAAAGGCATCATCTACTTGCACAGCTTTCATAAATGTGCTCATGTTGAGACTTTGAAATGATGAGATCCTGTTGGAGAGCAGTGGTATTTCAGTGTGCTGGCATTATGAAATCGGCATTATCCCCTACGAGTAATGCAAAAAAAGCCATGTCACCTCACCTCATGCATTCAAACGAAAATTCGTCAATGCATTTTGTACATTCGCACGCGTATCTTAATACCATATCTGGAAATCATGGACGCTAATGTGTTATAGCTATTGTCATCCTATTCATTATTAGTTTGTTTTATTTTGTCACCCCTGCTAGTTCTCATAAAGCGTTCACTATTAGTTTAGGTTTTTGTCACCCCTGCTAGTTCTCCTAAACCATTCACTATTAGCTTATTTTATTTTGTCATGGGGTGAATATTGTAAACGCTACAGTTTGCAATATTTCAGTTAAATCAACACACACACGGACGCACACACACACATGTACGCACGCACTCTCTCCCTCCATCGCTCTCTCTCTCTTCTCCCTCAGTGGCACCCACACACGCACGCATGCACGTATGTACACACATTCTCACATACACGCACACAGACACGGTACACGCACGCACTATCAGTTTAGTGATTAAAGGATCACACCTTGGCCACATATTTGCACTCTTTCCTCATGTTACGTGAAAATATCTATCACTTTTCCCTTTTTCTTATCATTAAATATTCAGTCGCCAACGCATGTCGCACTCTGTCTTGAACTTCAAGGTAGGAACATTAACACAGTGCAATACTCTGAAGTGAACACAAGCAGAATCGTAACATGTCGTGTTTCTGTTTCATTGTGAATGCCTTCACAGTGACAAATCTGTTCATTACACAAACTCAGTGTGGTATGTATTACGCATTGGTGTTATGCAAAATAAGATGATTGTTTTGAAGAAGATAACGTGCCGGAAATACAACATCTGATCACTTCTCCAGTTCCGTTGCTATGGTGTACATGGCCGCTAAGACACATGAGAACTTAGAGCGGATGTGGACGTTTGGCTGTGTGTTTTCCTAAGTGAACATTTGCTGCGTGTGTGTGCACCAGTCCGTCGGTAATTCATTTGAGTACAATTTGCACTAGAACGTGTAATCCTATATGTTCTCCTTTCTCAAATATATATCATCAATTTTTTACAGGTGTGAAGCTGTAACGTCACACGCAATTTAGAAAGTGTAGCTTCATACAAAACATGGCAGATCCCTTAGAGTTCTATTGCACTGTCCAAAGGGGAGCTGATGAAATGCAAACTAGGGAAAGAAGAAGGCATCTGCTTGAGGATTGATGCTTGCGTTTTGCAGCCAGAGTCCTCGGCGTGACGAGCCAACGCTTTAACTACTAGGCTACCACACCGCCCCCCTCCACAGGAGATGCATATGCACTTAAACAAGCAAAACAAACAACTTGTAAAGAAACACAGCTTATTAAACTTACCTTTGGTGACGAAACGAAAAGAAAAACATCAAGTATCACAACGCCGTGTGAAATCCCACGTGCAGAGCTTTCAACTGGCGATGACAAATATTTTGACAGATCCTTTGTTACAGATTGAAGGCTGGGGTGAATAACGCACGGATGTGAAAACTTCCTGCGGATGGTAACTGGGACATGTGTCGCTGATTTCATCCGAGACAGAAACACATGCTAAAAAGTCACAGCTAGTCTGTCTCACAGTCCCTGAACCACATTAATTTCCCTACTGCCAAGCCCTCTCTGCAGTGCTAAAGCCCTAAATAAAGCAAGTCTAGATCTCCTCAGGTTCTGAATCTCTGGTCTCCCTAGGGCTCCTTTTCAATATAAATGGGTTTGTTTGTTACTATCAAAATTATATATATTCAGAGACTAAGCCTTAGTCTAAGTCACAGCGTGCGTGTGCATGTCCATATGTATGTGCGTGCGATGTGCTCAGGTGATGTTTTATTTGTCATTATGTCCCCATGAGGGGTATTCCCGTGAAGTAAAAGTTTGTTATTACAGTATCATCTCCTTGATGTTGTGCCAACGTTGTTATAAGGGATTAAGTCACTGGGTGCTGTAAAATTCTGAACTATGTTGTGAAATATGAATTGGATTTACTAAGCTAATTTACTGAGTTTAGCTCACTGATATTATATTGATAGTGATTAATGTGTTCACTCAATCAATGTGAATGAAAATGATCAATTTGTTCACTCAGTCAGTGCCATACAGTAACTTACATATCTTACATATTGTTACAAGAGCTAGTATCATTTTCACAATGGGTTATGATCAGTTAGGAGAATTCAATTACAAGTTCCTGCCTACTTCAAGTGGTGGTATGTATGCTGAGGTTACATGCACAGAATCAACAAGAGGAAAGCAGAAGAATTGATTTCCTGGAGATGTATCTCCTCAGATTGTACTGCTACAATGTCAACCATCAGTGACGTTGTACCATGAGCGAGTGCAGAATGATATTAGGGTATGTAATGAATTGTTAGTATTAATGTATAGATAGATTTAAGCACCAATCCCAATGTAATGTAATGATTCTCGTTATCGAACTTGCATTTAGAATTGTGTAATATGAATGTAATTGTCATGCGTGTAATATAAAAAATGTTTCACGAAATGTAATGTATAATTTTACCATAGCTTCGAGAGACACTGGCGAGCTTGAAGTTAAAGGCCAAATCCACCCTTAGACCAATGCCCTCTCTCTCTTCAATGAAGACGTGACGACCTAGAGGCTGGAGCAAGTACACAAGGCCAGACGATCCATGTTCCGTGCCATTCTCAAATGCAGGGAGGACATCACCGTCCCAGATGACATATTTACTCTTCTTTCTTCTCTTTGGAGACGGACAAGATACTTGTTTTCACGACCAGAACCAATCTGGTGAAGTTGTCTATGGGGATGGTACATGCTTCGTCTCGTCAAAGTTATTGATTAATCTTCTAATCTACTAATCATACAGACCATACATGATTTGAAAATTATTTATCTTATTATTACTTGGAGGGTTGGCATGGCAGATTAAAGAAGATCGTTGGAAAGGCCCACCCAATCGTTTTCAAGATGATACTTGAGATATATTTCATGTGATATCATGTTTGATCTTGTGATTGTGCGTGGCAACACCAAATAAATTATGTCATGAATTGTCAAATATCAGCTTAGACTTATTTCATTTCTTTACCACTTGAACTTTTCGTTTCAACCTTGTGCCTGTTAAAACATTGACTGGCCTTTGTTCGAGATCACCAGGCCATGAACGTAAATCACCCCCCTCCATCCCACACACCCCCAAGCTCATTCCTGTGTATTTACAATTCTACTTCATGGGAACTAACCCCTCATGAGAGGGTACGTAAGTCCTAAAACATTCAGTTTAAGCCCATCGGTCGTTAATCGTAGTACAATTGTGTTTTTAATTATGGCTAAATTTCAGCACAATCGCCAACAGCTAAAGGGATGGTGTAAATCCAGCTAGGGTCCATGCAGGAAGCAAGAGTACTGTAAGTCCCCATCCTCCCTAATACGGTGATCCGCCTTCGGTTGTTGGCATTCTATAGCCTGTTTTTATTTTGCATTGTGTTAATAGTAAAACATTTATATTTACAGATTACTTTTATTTCTAAAACTGCGATATTGTGGTTCTTTTTACTGTCCTTCGTTGACTGGCTTTTCAATTCTTAACTAATATATTATAAATCTATAAGTTGTTTTCGTCACGAAATGGCCAACGAAGAACAAACATGATACTGCTTCAGAATCATATGAAATAAACATCTACATTTAGCAAGTATCCGGCAACTCATGCACATCCGGTCAAAACATGCGATTTCTAGTTTGGGTTTGTTTTAATGCTGTACATCCGAATTGTGTTCTCGTGAAACGGATACCGATTGCAGCT